TTGGTCTAATTTTAAAATGGATTCACATGAATGGTCATCACCCAAATCATGCTTAATAGGACCTCTACACTAGGGTTTGATAAGATGACTGCATCAAAATTGCATGTTCAAAGTGGGAACTCTCCTGCATCTTCAACTCGGCTGTCCAAGCATAAGATTCTTATGCAGATGATTCTCTATAGAGAATTGGATGTTAGAGAATCCCTTACCCAAATGGGGTTTAAGTCCTTTGTGAGGTGGTATTAATTTTTTAGTCAGAACCCTCTTTTCTCTTCATTTTAGATGCATCCTTCCTGCTTACTTGCCCCATTTATGTGTGCTCTACCTATTAAGGTTTGCAGAACTTTAAAAATCTCTTTCCTTAAACTTTAGAGCCACTGGGATTTCTTAGATGATTAAATTCATGGATTGTTGATAAATGATCTCTATTTTGGTGGGCTCAACTACCTTCACAACCAGGTAGACCTATAATCTTAATACCTTGGGATGACAAATCCATAGAATCCTTACCCTATTATATCTACCTGATTAGGATTTCCTATTATTCTATTAATAACCCTTTAAGCCCAGTATTCCCTTTGATATATCATTGATGTCATTTTGTCAGCCTCGATTGTTATTAAGCTATTGCCTGTTTTAGATACATTGATTCACCCTCTGCCATTATAACCCAGTAGGTTTGGAAGCATATGGATGTTTCTGATGAGACGACCCAATTATTTCCTAGGCCACATTTGTCAACGGGTCGCCATCCATTTGTTGTGAGAGATTCACCCTCCACCTCTGGTTCGGTACAGTTTTTAAAAGAAATGGGATGTTCCTCATTAAGATAATTGTGTTCCTTTGACATACCTCTTTCCTTAATTTTCACTAACTGTAAGCAGGATTCCTACTTTCGAGGGTTATTTGGGTATCCCTCAAAATGTAATTAACCCAAGGGATATGTTCCTTTAGGAGTTGCTCTTAACTCTGAAATAAAATTTATAATATTGGCTCTCTAGTTATATGGGTTGCTTACGAAGGGGACTTATTTGTGTATTTGGTTTCAAGGTATTGTTTTTATCTGATCTTGTTTTGGACATACACTTTTAACTTATCGCATGAAGATGGCTCACATATGTTCTCCATAATCTTTTTTAACTTAATTTGTTTGCCTGATCTCTTCTTATCTTCTATCTTTCAAATCTCTCTTCTTCTCTAAGTTATTTTGATGATCCAAGAAAGAAGGCTGTATGGAAAGGATAATATTAAGACGACAATCAGACAGGCTGGTGACCCTAAGTTCAAAATGAACCAAAAACAGTCACTCATTTTTGTATGGTTTTCACCAGTCAGGGCTGAACATGAAGATGAATATCAAAAGATGGCAAAACTATTAGCTAGCAATGATGACATATTGTATGAAGAGAGCCAAGAAGTGTCACCAATGTCAAGTTCACTAAATGGTTCTACATTAACCTCTAAAGATACTACATCCAACAATTGCTTCATGTTTGTTCAAGTGTTGGGGCATAGCTATAGTGGGTCACATAGATTCTCCATCTTCCAAAGATCATCAGTTCATTCTAGCTTTTTCCAATTACTTAGTATGCAGAGGCCATACCACTAAAGAAAATCAAACTTAACCATTTCTTATTGTCCTTAAATAATCAAATTATCTACATATTTAGTGTTCCTCAAAGGACAATCTCAAATAACATTGCCACCTTCAAGAATACAAAGAGCAACTACATCATCAGAAGACATCAGATAGATTGAGGTACTCGATGATCCACTACCCGAAAGCTAATGGTCTAGTAGAAGCCTTCAAAAAGATATTGGTTAAAACTTTTAAAAAAGACTATAACTGATAACAAGGAATAGTGACACAATTAGTTTTCATAAGCTCTGTTGGCCAATAGAACAACATACAAAACTACAACACATTCTACTCCATATGCTCTGGTAAATGAGTCTAAGGCCATTCTTCCTCTCAATGTAGATGCCATTAGCCAAAGTTATTGTTACCAACAAAAGAACAACTGAAGAAAATGTAAAGATCCATCTCGAAGAACTTAACAACTTGGAAGGCAAATGTCTGAGGGCTAAACGGAGTATGGAGTTATATCAAAAAAGTTGATATAAGTCCACAACAAATTAGCTCTTCTGAGAATGTTCCAAGTTGATGAGTTAGTACTTGTGCTACAAATATATATTCTTTCACATCACATGATTGGAGGCAAATTTGGAACAACTTGGGGAGGACTTTTCGTTGCAAAGAAACTATACTCCGGAGGATCCTACCAACTTATTGATTGTCAAGGAGAAAGACATATGCTCTTGATCAATGGAAGATACTTGAAGAAGTATTATACATTGCGAAGCTCTTAAAGGATAAATTTTAGAAGCGAAATATTATTCTTTCAAAACATCAATGTAATATATGTTTGTAGTTGGGTCCAAATAAAAGAAAATTTCAACAAAAATGGAATAAGGAAATAAAAAGTGTAAATTTCACAAGTTTCAAAAAAAATTCATGATTCCGTCATTTTCAAAATCTCTTACTTGGAGCTTAGGATATTTCTTCTATTCTGATTTATTATTTCTCTAAATGTTCTAAAATAAATATAATATGATAAATGAAATAAAATTCACTAAATAAATTTTAAAAATTTTAATAACTATTTTGTTCAATCAACTCAGCACACTAACATTCTAACTGTATTTTTACAGGAAACTGTCGAATATGTAGTTGATTTTCACCTTCCAAAATGACATAAATGTTATACTAAACTATAGATACATTGAACAAGGATCAATAATCAACTTTGATATGGACTTAAACATTTAAACAAACTTGAGATGATATAAGAAGGGCCATGTTGAGCATAATGAGGAGCTTGGTATAAATCTCAGAGCTCGTGAATGCAAATATTGAGGTCATACATGACTTAAACAAACTCGAGATGATATACGAAGGACCATGTTGAGCATAATGATGAGCTTGGTATAAATCTTAGAGCTCGTGAATGCAAATATTGAGGTCATACATGAGTACAGATTGTCAGATTATTTGCTAGAGGACGTCTGCAACAATGTAGAGTAGTTCATTACTAAGGAAAAATAAGTTGTGGATGGTGCTTTGGTTGTTGAGCCGTATGTTCCTCACTTTGCCAAGCAGCATCAGATAATTCTAGAATGAGAACTAGAAAACTTCCAAAGGGCGTAGGGAAAAATTTTTAAGCACTTTCAGCACATGAATGCAAATCTATCAATATTCTGGAAGGCTTGGAATTACATGTCGATATCATCTCATAATACCAGCAAGAAAAGAGTGTGAATTGAATGTTCGAAATGCACGATAGAGGCATAACTGGTTACTTAAGAAAAAGAACATATTCAGAGTCTCGTAGATGAAAGAAATGGAAAAGTAGGATTACCCTCCAATGAAGGGTCCTCTGGAAATTATTCAGCATGATGTGGTGGATCTGATTCTACAACTAATAAAGAGAATGATCAAGAAAATGATATTATGGCTTGTGCTTCCAACAGATTGTGTGTCCAACAGTTGTATTAAAAATATCGATGCAGAAGGAAACTATATTCCTCTGCACATGGGTCACTACTACGTCAGAGCTGCTTCTTCAAAAACCAGTAGTCGCCTCTAATGCATTCTAAATCAAAATGTCATTTGATTTAGACGATTTAAAGTTCTATTTTATTTGTTTAGTTTGTTTATTGGACATTTAAAATGGTTATTTAAATCATTCAAAATAATGAACACATCCTAATAATGCCCACATATAATTATGGAATGCCAGTCACT